TAAAAAAAAAAAAAAAAAAAAAGGTTATAAGAAATTACTTAGAAATTCTGTTATGTTACTTAACAATTGTGGCCTAAGGGCTTATCTGAGACACTTTTTTTTTCTCTATTTGCTTATCTGAGGACTTAAGCCAGCTACCACAAGAGCCTGTTGATTCATTAATACAAGCTATATTTTTTTTAAGGGTAAGAAAAGTCAAAATGGCTTTAGGTGTAGTTAATTAACTGGATCGCTCACTCTCTGTCTTTGCTGATGTCCTTTTAGTTTCCTCTCTATGGCTTGTCCATCTCCTCCTCATTTTTATCCAGGCTACTCAACCAATGTTAACTAGCTTATTCATATAGGGTTGGCTGAAGTTTTTTTAAGTATAGACTCAGGGTGGTTGTCTGGCTAATCTGATCATCCATGCTAATATTATTGTTAAGGTGACTAAAAAAAGGTAAACAAATTCCAAATATCAATTCCTTCACCTCCTAAACATTCTATTTTTATGTTTCCAGGCTTAGCCTGGCCATAATTTTAAATTCAAAAACTGAAGCTAATTATAAATCTATGCATAAAAATGATGTTTAGAGTAAGTTTGTCGTGATACAGATAATTCTATGCCAACAATTTTATGGCTTAATTTTGTTTATTCCTAAAATTCCCAATCTAATGGGCATCTCCAAGATCATGTCAAATTGGGAAGTCTTAACAGTAATTAGATATTTTTTTCAAAATTACTTTGCCTTGTGTTTTAATCAATAACTAGCAACATTTAAAGTCTTATAAATTCTACCAGTTATAGGAGGAAAGAATAGGACTCATTATGGACCCATGTTCACAGTTAGAAAAAAAAAAAGATGAATCTTTTCATCACTCAGCAGCATGAGGATACTCCAAATATATGGTATTTTTTCCCCCTTAGAGTTATTTATTAGCCAGAGGGGAGGGTGGACAGAACTTCTTTTGAAGTTAAACATCTTGCTTGGATGAGCAGATACGTTGCATCAAATCAAAGTAATAAAAAGACAAAATGCTTTATTAAATCTTCTTTATCACTATATTGTGCTCCAATGGGATGATCTAATTAAAGACACAGTTGAGCTTCTTTTCATCTAAGAGGAGTTCAGAGGCTTTCATTATTAAAAGGTTTGCGCAGAAACAAGGACATTGCTGTCTTGCTTCCAGGTTTCTCGGTGGTGTCTCCTTCCTGTTCGCTCTAGCTGCCGTGGATGTCTTGGCTGCCACTTCATGCCTGGAGACTAATTAGTCCTTTCCATCTTCAAAGTACCTGGAAGGCACTAACATGATTAATATTCATAATACCATTCTGAGGTAGGCACTGAACGTGCTATATTCTTCTGCCAGATATGGAAGTGAAAGAAAAGAATTTAAAGTGGTATTTATTTCAACACTGATGAACACTTTGCTTGCTGGTTCTGAGCTTCCAAATTTTTAAACTGGTCCTTTACCTCTGTGCCTTTCCCCGCCCGGCCCATCAGATGCTGCCAATTCATATCGCAGAACATGAGACTCCTTCAAGTAACCAGATTAGTCACCATCATCATCGGAGAAATGTATACAAATTAGAGAAATCTCACTTGGTGACTCCCCTTACGTTGGGCCCTCTCCAGGGCCTCTTGATTTAACAAGCAATCACGAAGCACTGAGTCATTTCTAATATAATTCCTGAATAATATCATTCTTGCATGGAACTTCCTTCAGTTTGGACTAGATTAGGGATCAAAACCTAGCAGCTGTACATATACCTTCATGGGCCAGCGGAATTATTTGACATTTTTTTTGAATGTGTAATTCTTGTGATGAGGTTTGTGCTCCTTAGGTCATCACAGTACCTCTACTCTCTTCTGCTTTTCACATAGTTGATTCTGTGTAACTTATGTCACCTGCCTAACGGCTGAAGGCATTTGAGTGTCCTGACTAAAGAGAGAAAGGAAGGATTATCTTATTTCCCAAACCAAGGCAAATTTGGTAAACTGGCAAAACTGGTAAACTTTTGAGTTTCTTTGACATCATGTCTCCCCTGTCTCAAAATGATCTCTCCCCTTTCTCTGTCAAGTTATTTTTTACTTCATTTAGCATTTTCAGAGGAAAGTAATCTAATAAAGGACTCCTCACTGAACTGTGAATGACTGACATCAACTTGATGTTTTTATCCCGGTTAGCGCCACTGGGAGTTTAAAAAAGAACGGTGGA